TTAAGTGGCTCCAATAAATGTTGCCACTCCATATTTTTAAAAAGCCGAATAATCTAATACTGCAATTTAGTGAATTTTATATAAACAAAAATATATTTAATATCTCGAATACATATTTATTCAAAATAAAAGTACAAATTCGTGGGGAAGTTGACCGAAGGGACTGGATAAGCTGAAAGGTTTAAAAGAGAGTAGTAGTCATCCAGAAAACGGAAGACACCCGGGTTCGAATCCCCGGTCCGGTCCAACCCAATGGCCCAATTTTTTCACGAATCTTATATATTTATTTATTCATTTATATTTATACAGAAAGAGAGAGAGAGAAAGAGAGAGAGAAAGATCAAAATAAAAAAAAAATACTACATTACATACATAACATATACGGACAATACGTGTATACGTCTCAAAGTCAATCTTTGAATACAAAAAAAAAACCCGCCTCTCACTATTCGCGTTCGTCGCTCTCGAAAGGGCTACCAGTGCACTCAAAAACAGACAAACATTCGATCTACCACCGCTACCCTTCAAAATAATAAAAAAAATATATATATATATATATACACACATAAGTGTAAGTAATACGAGTAAGTGAAAAACAGTGCAAGGGTATTGGATAATGGTACATCACCAACATAGGGGACAACGAAAAAGAATATGTAAATAAAAAATATAAAATAATACAAAATGATATATAAAATACACATATTATATATACATATATGTCTCTCTCTCTCTCTCTTTCTATGTGTATATATATATATATGTATATAATATTATACATTTGAATGAACACAACCCGTATAGGAATTTGACATATTTTATCCACGAGCACAGATAGATATCTATTAAAAATACACACATATTACCAAAAAAAACGTTATTATTCAATATAGTGTGTAATAAATTGCCCACGTTAACGCCTAATAATCGATCTCTCGTCTCGCTTCTAATGCACGCCGACATAAACGGCCCGATCAAGAGAAATGGGCTGCTCTTCTACCAAGGCCGAGACACGACCACCACCACCACCCTCCCTGATAGATGTTAAACAAAACAAATCAAAGTAAATATTATTACACCGGCACCAAACGACATTTCCGGATATGAAGATGGCCCGATAAATGTTCAGATACAACAACTACAACCAACAACAACAACAACAACAACTATAACAACTACTACTCCTACTTACTACTACAAAAATTACCCCCACAACAACAACATTGATTATAATACAATAAAACAAATTAATACAAAACAGGAAACGGGGAGAATCGCAGTATTCAGAAACAAAACAACTACAACTACAACAACAACAGAAACAACATCCAACAAGAACAATATCTTCACACCGGATGATAGAGCCGTAAATAAAATTCTCGATAACACGGATATATATACATATATATATATATATATATATATATATATATATATGTATATATATATCGGATCGAGAAAAAAAAAGAGAGAAAATAAGATATAATAAGCGATATATATAATAATCACGAGGACGATGAGAGGAGAGAAAAACGAATAAAAAACTAAATATAACAAAAAAAAA